TGCGAGGTTTTATTAATGAAAGTTAAGTAATGACAAATATTAAAATGATGTAGCCAGAAGATATTTTAATTCTTTGTCATTGGTTATTTCAAAACGTCTTGTTCCACTCTGTAGCTTACTTTTCTCTTTTGCTTAAATGTTTGTGCTCAGAATTAAAAAATGTAAAATCTCAAGCCTTGATGTGTTCTGTCAGTTTCATTAATCCATTGATTCTTGAATAATTAGTCTGAAATTACAGTATTGAGGTTTTGTTAAAGTTTTACTGTAATTTTTATTGAAAGAATTCTTCCACTGTGTAGTGAAAATGATTTTTCTACATTAGAGTTTGTATGTTCAATAGAAGTTCTTAGGTATTTTTAAATGATTTTTAGACCTTAAGTCCTTAATTTCTGCCAAATTTTGTAAAATGTTCTTAAATTTACTCATTCCGTCATTTTCTTTTTCTTTTTTTTTTTTTTAAACGACTGCCATTCTGAATTAATAATCAGCATTTTGGAGGAATTTTATTGATGATTTATTGACAAATGCATCTTTCATGGGTTATCTATTGAATTAGTTCATACTACTTGTATAGGGTGATATTTGAGTTTTGGGTACAAGACCTTACCTCTATCGAAATACGTCACTAAATTATTATGATATTTTTTAATGAAGAGTTTGTAACATACTACATCAAAAACGAAATTTGGATTCACAGATTTGCAAATTGTTTGAGGATTTTTTATTTTTACGAATGCAGTAACATTTTACGAACATATTAAATATAAATAAAATAATAATGTATTAAAGGAATAGTATTAAGAATAAAACATTTTCATTTTCTGATCTTTTAAAGTGTGGTTACTTTCAGATTCTGATGAATTGGGACTATTTTAATTCTGGAAAATAAACAAGATAATAAATGCATGTATATTTTGCTAGTACAGAGATGGTAGGGATGTAAGATTTTAGACCTTATACCTTGGAAAGCTTTGGGTAATTACCACCAGGATTTGGGGCTCTTAACCAGGGATAGTTACTAGCAGGGAATAAGATCAACCTTTTATTTACCTGTTAAGTATTTAGTTTATAAATTTAAAAAGGCAACATTTACTTTTTTTAAATTTATGAAGCACACTGAAATAATCTGAATTTAAATAAATGCATGTATATTTTTGAGGTTGTAAAAGGGTGGAATGCTCTAGAGCATTTAATAGTACGAGTATTGAGAACAAATATGAAATGATATATGGTCCCAGCCAGCAGCAGATCCAATTTTCTACAATTTTTAGAATTTAGTGACCACTGACTTTTGAAGAATTTGAAGGTTAGGTTTATAGACATATGATTCCTTAAAACATATGTCTATAAACAGAATTAAAAATGTATTAAAAATGTCTTATGATTCCTTAAAATATAACAGAATTAAAAATGTATTAAAAATGTCTTTAAATATAACAAAAAGAAATCAACACATGGGATTTTTAGGAAGTTTGTGGTGAATTTATTTTATGGAGAATTTTTGAAAGAAAAGTGAAAATGGAATTACTTGAATTTTCTACTTTTTATCTTAGAAATCGTTCTTTTAACATGTTTCCCTTTCTTGTCTCCTTCCCGCCCCCTTAGAGACAGGCATGGAAAGTTGCAAAAATGGTTCTTATCTTGTCACATAGATTGACATGTATCTGTAGAAAGGAAATTTCTTTTAGTAAAGAATTTGAAAACTGACAAATTAAGATTCATCTTGTGGCTAAGTGCGCCGTACACAGGATGAGTTAGGCGTTTGCCACCTGGTGCAGTCTGTGTGTGTTATGTATCATAAATTCTGCTGACTGTTTATTCCCTAAATTCTAAAATTTTGGCTTTTATTGCCATCACAAAATTTTATTGCTTATTCCTTCACTAAATTCTAAAAATTCTAGAAAATTGGATCTGCTGGCTGCCAGGACCATATATCATTTCATATTTGTTCTCAATATTCATATTATTAAAGAAACTAAATTAGCAGTTTCTTATGTGCATTCTAAATGCATGAAGTTTTAGAATAGAAATCTGAAATGAAGGGGAAACTTGTTGAGAAGAAATTGATTACTTGAAGAAAATTGTAACGCATTGATTGCATAAAAGAATATTGTTGAAACATTTAATATACTAGAAGCAGAAGAGGCAAGGGGGGATACTGATTTGCTTATTGAAGCAAATAAACTTTAAAAAGATGCTAAAAGATGCTCTAAAGAGAAATTGATACGTATTAACTAAAGTTTCTGGAAAATTTTCAAATTAAGAAGAGACAATTTTGGTGTGTATTGTTGTTACAAAAGATGTTTTATAGCTTTTAAGGTATAACTATCCTATTATTTAGTATCTGCATCAGGAATTAAATTTGTAATTATCTGTTATTTTGAAGTGTAAAATATTCTTAGATTGCGATTTTAATAGCGTTTATTTTAACAAATATTTCATAACAATATTTTACAGTTACCATATAAAATAAATTACCATATAAATGTAAGAGTATCTTAACGAGTTATCTGTTATTTTAAAGTGTAAAATATTCTTAGACTGTGATTTTAATAGTGCTTTTTTAACAAATATTTCTTAACAATATTTTACAGTTACCATATAAATGTTAAGAGTATCTAACTATGTAATTTAATTATTTATAACTTTACCCCTTGGAGTTCTCTGTCCACATTAAAAAAGCTATTGCCTTTCACTAATCTTTTATTGTAAATGCAAGATATGACATAAAAATGTAAAACTCAGCATAAAACATTATTCCTTGCAGCTAGTACGACCTAAAGCAGTACAAAACCACTGAAATGGTGCTGGTTCTTTGCTGGCTTATTGTAACTAAACTTAAATTTTTATATTTAATTCTCATCGTTTATAAATCTGGAAAATACATTGCTTTCATTAGAATGTGAAGAACTGAGATTTTTATTTTGAGAATGTTTTCGATATGAATAACTAGAATTTTTAATTCCATTAAAAGTTATTACTGATTTTACAAAATTTAATCACTGAGAAACTCTTGTTAACGAAAGAAACTTCACATTTAATGAATCGGAATTTTATTTGTACGCAATAACTAAACAGAAAGACGATTTAAGACGTGAAGGCAGGATATCGATCCTAAAAAATTAAGATAAATCCTGACTGATTTAAATTAGGAAGCTATTTTACCCGGAATCATGTAGCAACATAAAATCATTAGTTGAAAACAAATATAATTAATCAGAGATGTTTATTGGTCAAGTCTTGTAGTAATTATACTTACCATGATTTATGCCTTGAATAATAAACATCTTTGATAAGTTTAAGTAATATATCTTATTTTTGACATACGTTGCCAAATAATAACAAATACTCATGTTTGAAAAAACACTAAGCTTGCAATGATTTAATAAGTTTTTGTAATTATGAGACATTAATTGCATAGAGATAATTATATATTATTTTGCATTCTAAATGGCAAATATCAAACCTCTGATAGATGTCTGATATAGATCTAAATAGCAAATCTCTGATCTCTACAGGGAATTTTATAACATGATTTAGCAATATTATGTGGAATGCAAATGTAACAAATCCTAAACTGCGATATTGAACACAACAAATGAAAAACACAATTATCATTGCATTATTACTGTCGAATAAAACATACGATCCATCCTTCCTGTACGATCCATAGTTTACGAGAAAAATACGAAAAACAAAGTAAGACGTCACTGCCGGTGCAAGAAAAAACACTTTATTGAACATATCAACAGCAGTATATGCAGATGTTAAAGTGTTCGCCGAGCATGTCGAGGCATGCTAAAAAGTACAGTACAAAAGAAAGTTAAATGTCACCATTCTTCTTTAAAGGTATGTGAGACAGAAGTGTAAAATATTAATGTTGTAAGGAATTTTGTAGTTTAATGCTAATTACTTGATAAATTTTATAAAGCTGGTTTAGTCTTGAATTTGTTTTATAATTATGTTAAATATTAGATCATGTATAATAAAAATCCATCCTACTTACTGGTTTCTTGTATTCTTGAAATAATATTACAAAAGTGGAGTTTAGGCGTAGTTGCTTTAATTTATTCAATTCTGATTTTCTTTTAATAACCTGTTTTTTAATTGATGGTCCTTAAAAGTACTTAATTTTCATGTGCAGAAATATGTTCAAATTGTGTAAATTAATCCTTTAAAAAATCGTGAAACGTTTATCTGATCTTAAAACTGGTTACTTCTCTCCGAGTCTAGAACTTTTATAATCTTTTAAAGTTTGTGTTTAAAAAAATAGTAAACGTAAATACCCCTGTAGTTTTAATTGGGAATAGTTTCCTAACTTGCTAACCTAATAGAGATGGAAATTAAGATTTGTATCCTAGTTTTATGTAAAAGTTTAAGCAAGGTTTAATTTCTGATACTAAAAGTATCATGTTCCAAATTGAGGCTATTAAGAAAAGTAAAAGGGTCTGACCAGTGTCTTTTTTTTTTTTTTTTTTTTTTTTTTATGAAGAGAGAAAAATGTAAAATATAAATTTTAAAAGGGTGTTAAAGTAAAATGCTGTGAACATAAATTATTATGGGATTAGTTTTCAGTATATTCAGTATTTCTCTTGGTAAGCATCCTTTGCTTTTTCATTTGCTTTTGTTTCTTTTTTTCAATATTTTTGTTCATTGTATTAATTTAGACTTTTAGGCTTTCTCAGAATTGAAATATTTTGTTCAGTTATCCACCCAAAGTAGGAATTTATGTAAAAGATTTTTGGAAAGCCAGAATTACCTTTCCTAAAATATGGTAACCATAAACATAGCATAACTTCAGCCTTTTCTCCCCAAAAAATGACACATGCTTTCTTCTGCTAGCGTTAACATCAGTGTCTTCAAATGCTGAAAAATTGAATTTAAGGGCTGTTTGTAAGATGCAAAAAATGTTAAACATCTAATTACAGAAAGTTGAATATAAATGAATAAAACTCTCCTTATAACTTAAGGTAAACACTTTTAATGTAAATTTTTTGCAGTGAAATGGAAGTTTTCCCTTATTTTCATCCGGTCCCATTCTCCAAAATGTTGACCTTCTACAGAACTGAGCCTTTTACTCTTGAAGCCTTCTACTCTGGCGTACCAGCAAGAGCAAAAATAAGTAAGACCTTTAACATTTTTTAAGACAGAGAAATTCCATGTCTGATTATTTCTTTCTATTACTTTTCCCTAATATTTTACAGAGACAGGGATATTGACATTGCAGCAGAACTGCAGGGCTTTATGCTGATTATAACTTACTGTGTGTATTCTTTTACTATATAGTTTAGCTAATACTGTGGGCAGCAAAATAAGCAAGCATAAAATGTATTCTTATGTGTCATTATAGAGCTTTCTGTAATTTTCTGTTTTTATACGTTTGTGTTTATTTTGATTTAGGTGTCAAATTGTCATTTGGCAGTGAATGTTGAACTTTTTCTTAAAGAGATAATTGTATATGCATAAACACAGGATCAACCAAAAGTTTGAGACACACAGTTTTTAAAAAAGTAGTGAAAGAAGGTGTGCTGAGTTTTTGATGTTGAAAAACTCGGCATTTATTTTTACATAAAAGAAAATAATTTTTGTGTCAAATTACATGTAAAATACATAAAAATGGAAAAAAAAATGTGTATATTGACAATGTTCACTAGCAACTGAGTCATTATGTTAACTGAACACTTGTAGTTCAACTGAACTTCAGATCCGAGCGAAGGATCTGGCTGCATGGGGCTTTTCATGTGTGATGTGAATGCAAGTCAATTTTCCTCAATAAGCCATGTACAAAGGTACTGCTCTCCATAGGCAGAGTTTTTTAGTCTCTAAAGTGTGTTTTTGCTGCAATCTGATAAAATATTTCATTGCAGAATCGTTGTGCATAAAATCGGACTTTGTAATAAATGACTAATATTTCATTGAAGGTCCCTTGTTTTTAATCATCTTTGTATTTTTTTATATTATAAGGTATTTCTCCTGCCTTCCTAGTGTGCCTTCGTGGTATAGCAGTTCTGCACACTGGCCCGGTATTCCAGAGGTCCGTGGTTCGATTCCTGGCAAAGGCGATTGCTCATTTTTTCGTCTTATCTGCTTCCAAAAAATACCTAATGTCTGTATAGTGGCGCGTAAACTAAAAGTGTGTTGGATGATGATTCTCCTCACCCAGGATTTGGCGATTGGGTCCCCTAAACTCCAGTCGCCGTATAAAAGGGGGGGTATATAAGGTATTTCTCCTGCCTTCCTAGCGTGCCTTCGTGGTGTAGTTGCTGCAATCTAGCGTGCCTTCGTGGTGTAGTTGCTGCAATCTGATAAAATATTTCATTACAGAATCATTGTGCATAAATGGGACTTTGTAATAAATGACTTTAATATTTCATTGAAGGCCCCTTATTTTTTATCATCTCTTTGTATTTTTTCTGTATGTTCTGTATGTTCGATTCCTGGCAAAGGCGATTGTTCATTTTTTCGTCTTGCCTACTTGCAAAAAATATCTAATGTCTGTACAGTGGCCCCTAAACTAAAAGTGTGTTGGATGATGATTCTCCTCACCCAGAATTTGGCAATTGGGTCCCCTAGAACTCCAGTCGCCCTATATAAGGTATTTCTCCCGCCTTCCTAGCACGCCTTCGTGGTGTAGTGGCTGCAATGGCGCCTAAACTAAAAGTGTGTTGGATGATGATTCTTCTCACCCAGGATTTGGTGATTGGATCCCCTAAAACTCCAGTCGCCCTATAAGAGGGAGGGAGTATATAAGGTATTTCTTCTGCCTTCCTAGCGTGCCTTCGTGGTGTAGTGGTTCTGCACTCTGGGCGGGTATTCCAGAGGTCCGTGGTTCGATTCCTGAGGAAGGCGTTTGCTTATTTTTCATCTCTCAGGCTTTTCCAATTAACCTAATGTCTCTACAAGACATTAACTCCATAAGTATTTCGAAATATCACTCCATTTTTCTCCTATAAATGTCAGTATTATTTATCTTTGCTTTTTAGTTGTTGCTTTTAACTTCTCATTTGGGCTTTAGTCAGACAGCTCAACATGGTACTAGAATGATGTTTTTGTGTTTAGCCCTCTAACTTAACGGCCTTATATATATATATATATATATTGAATATTTTT